GATTCAAGAGCCGAATGGCTCACAGGGCTATACCAAAATAAATGAACTTTGAACTATGACTAATTGGTTGTGTCGGTTGGTGGAGTGATTTACGAAACATTTATTTTTACGCGATCTAACTCCAAAAAAAAACACGTTGAAGGGAAACAACAAAATAATAAAATATATATAACGTGACTTTACCGAAAAAACTAAGAAAAAACTAAGAATATGAATTACTGCAGTCACGAAAGCTTTAAATAAAAAAAAACCTCTATTATAGATGCTGAGCAATAACTTGTGGCCAGGTCGCTTCTGAAAAAAGATCAATATATAGCTCAGCGGGCCTTGCCTGGTCAAATAAAAATAGTAGCTGGCAAAACCCACACTTCACACCCACCACATGTGGCCCTGCCTATCGACATTCATCCAGCAGTGGATTGGCCATGACTGAACGTTATGTACGCTATAACCTATAGCTTCTAGGACTCCTAGAGTAAAGTGTCTTGGGCTGTATTCAACGTTTTGCTCCCCCTCCGCCCGCCCGCTCTCCAATCGTAACAAAGCCCTCCGTATGCAGTGAAGCAACGGATTAAGAGTGCTCAAACTCGTGATCTCAGCTGACTTGCATCACGCGTGCCATCACCACCACCACCACTTCTGCTGCTGTACTGCTGCCCCGTCTTGTGCTCTGCAATTCTTCCCATTGCACGTGGTCTCACACGCACAAGAAAGTTCAGGGATCTCTGTTCACTCACCGCCACCGACCACCCAATACAACCACACAACCACACCACCACCATAGACTTTTGTGGTGCCTTTTGCTGCCTGTCACAGTGACAATTCGTTCGGGGTCCGGCACGCACCGCAAAAGAATAAAAAAAAGTGACAAAGTGGATGAACAAGAATAATAATAGTAAGGCACTGTTGTGCTGCTATTTTTTTTTACTTTGTCTTAAGAGTTCGATTGTCATCGTCATCTCTGCTTGATAGGTACGTTATACAACTACAGTAGTCGAATGTTATATTAATAGTGTGTGTGTGTTTGTGTACGTTGATCCATTTATAGATACTCCATTAGATTTTGTTGGGAGAAATTCGTGTTCGATTACTTGTATGTATTATTCTTTCAGAGCCGCTTACGTGCCACCATTCTCAACAGAGCTCGTTGGATCTTTTTTTGTACACTACTCGACTTTTGTAAGACGTGGGAGCCATCTCTTTCACCACGTTCATTAACCCGTTGAGAAGCCTTCTAATTACACATACGTGGGATATCTATAAATGGATCAGCCTGGATGTAAATGATTTCTGTTCAACGGTATCTTGGCAACTTTAGTAGATCTATGTTCTCATTGCATGGCCATGCGAGGTGTGCTCTGTTACTGAGTGCATTTCATGCACTCACTTCTGCTTGGGGTGCGTATATATAAATCGTTGAACGTTTCCTTTTTGTGATGCGGATAGGTCTATGCCGAACATTGTGATCCATTCATAGATCCCCAGAATTGAATTCCGATTACTTTGTCAACAGGCGAGCTGGTTTGGTTTTTGGTTTATTTTGGCGCAGGTAAAACCCATTGGGCAGTATCTCTTATCTACTGACTACATGCCTACACACCCTACATACATGCCTACACACCCTACACACAATAAAGTCAGTAGTATATACATGCAGACACACCCTACATACAATAGAGTCAGTAGTATCTACATACATGCCTACACACCCTACATACAATAGAGTCAGTAGTATCTACATGCCTACACACCCTACACACAATAGTCAGTAGTATCTACATACATGCCTACACACTCTACACACAATAGAGTCAGTAGTATCTACATGCCTACACACCCTACATACAATAGAGTCAGTAGTATCTACATACATGCCTACACACCCTACATACAATAGAGTCAGTAGTATCTACATACATGCCTACACACCCTACACACAATAGTCAGTAGTATCTACATACATGCCTACACACCCTAAACACAATAGTCAGTAGTATCTGCATACATGCCTACACACCCTACACACAATAGAGTCAGTAGTATCTACATGCCTACACACCCTACATACAATAGAGTCAGTAGTATCTACATACATGCCTACACACCCTACACACAATAGTCAGTAGTATCTACATACATGCCTACACACCCTACATACAATAGCGTCAGTAGTATCTACATACATGCAGACACACCCTACATACAATAGCGTCAGTAGTATCTACATACATGCAGACACACCCTACATACAATAGAGTCAGTAGTATCTACATACATGCCTACACACCCTACACACAATAGTCAGTAGTATCTACATACATGCCTACACACCCTTCATACAATAGCGTCAGTAGTATCTACATACATGCAGACACACCCTACATACAATAGAGTCAGTAGTATCTACATACATGCCTACCCTACATACAATAGCGTCAGTAGTATCTACATGCCTACACACCCTACATACAATAGCGTCAGTAGTATCTACATACATGCCTACACACCCTACATACAATAGAGTCAGTAGTATCTACATACATGCCTACACACCCTACACACAATAGAGTCAGTAGTATCTACATACATGCCTACACACCCTACACACAATAGTCAGTAGTATCTACATACATGCCTACACACCCTACACACAATAGAGACAGTAGTATCTACATACATGCCTACACACCCTACACACAATAGAGCCAGTAGTATCTACATACATGCCTACACACCCTACACACAATAGTCAGTAGTATCTACATACATGCCTACACACCCTACATACAATAGCGTCAGTAGCAAAACCGTAGCCATGGAGTCAACATTGGGGGGGACCAAATCTTCCAGGGTGTCTGGGGGTTCCAACTCAGAAAAAAATTCTAAATTTTAAAACTCATTTCCTGCCTAAAATATTAAAAAATTCACTAACACATGGGATGAACTTTTTTTTTATTTTTTTACAATAATGTCTAATAGTGTATTATATTACATTGTTCCGTTTCCTTTTTTACATTTTCTTGTTTCATTGTATGTAATGGCAGAGATTAGGGATTAATAAAGTACAACCATAACTACAATAATATGAACATAAATCTATGCATTGCTATATGAAGACAAGCCCAGATATTGTGGCCAAGGTTTAGAAAATTGTTCTTTTTATTTACATAGCATAGCAATTATTATTTGTTTTTAAATATTTTTCATAGCAATATATTGGGGGGGACATTTTGAACATATTTGAATATTGGAGGGGGGGATGTGTCCCTCCCAATATATATTATAATCACGGCCTTGGTCAGTAGTATCTACATATATGGGAGGGGGGGGGGAGTAGAGGACATCAGTGGGGGCGATGGGCAAAGCGCCGAGATGCCCTCTGCAGGATTTAGAATAAGGCCGCCGACATTCTAGTATTTTAAAATAATTAAAGAGTACAACATTTCAAATCACTGCGCATTTGTTCTATTTTGATGCACTGTGGCGTGTCGTTTGTATTGTACTACATGTACAGTTGTTTCGTTCTTGTCTACGTCGGCTTTAATTCAGCAGTAGACAGATCGTGGCTGCTGCTGCTGCTGATGGTGGTGCAGCCATAAGTAACCCCGGTGTGTAGGAGTCATGGTGAAGTATGGTCGCGTATGGGTTGAATGCTGCGCTCACGTTGCACATGCCGTATTCTCAAGATTGTCAGACGCTCCCCCCAATTTTTGTCTTCAACTACAGAAGGGGGGGGGGGGGTGGCGGTGGGTTAAAATGCATCTAAAGTTTCAGAATATATGGAATACTGAGAACGGTAAGTGAAATTAAAAATACAGGAATGCATGCATTGCATTTTCGGAATATGCGTGGTCACCTTTAAAGAGATTAACATCTTCCAAAAATGTGAAACGAGAGACATTAATCTTCAATTTAATTTACCCACATACAAGCAATGCAGCACAATTTTTTTTTCGTGATGCTTATGATGCTGCAGTGCAGTTTTGCGTCCTCATCTCCCCCCCCCCTGCGCGTCTCATAATACCGAACGATGTCCAGCCCTATTGCAACTATTGGAATTACAAGAATTAATAATTCATTGCAACAGATAAGTGAACCCGGTTGCTCAGAGGTCAGGCCACTGAGCTGGCACGGAATGAGGTTCTCAGGTGCAGTGAGTCGATGGTTTCTCAGCTCAGTCACAAAAAAAGGAATTCGCCAAAACCCACGACGTGAAATCTCTGTTTGCTCTTTCTTTGGCCAAAATCCAGCCGTGAGAATGAAAAATAACCGATTAGCATGTCGTGTGATGCCAATGCGTCAGATCTCAGAAGCTAAGCGGAGTTGAACTTGGACGGTGCTTGGATGGGCTACGTTGGCAGTTCAGCAAAATCCATACTTTTGCTCCCTCGTCTCCACTAACATGTACTGGGCAGTGTGGTGAAGTATGGTCAAACAGCCCCCACGATCCGCACATGGCATGGGAGTTGCCAGGAGCTCAAACACCTAGTTTATGTATGATTTGTTTAAGGGGTGCCACGTGGCGAGATGTTTACTCCCTCGCCTGGTATGCAGGAGTTCGTGGGTTCGATCCCGACCCTGACGCCTGTATGTTTGGAGTTTGCATATTCTTCCCGTGGTCGCGTGGATTTCTTCTCTGAATCCTCCAGTTTTTTCCCCCTCCACGTCTAGAAACATGCCTTTAGAGCGTATGGCTCCACAAAATGTCCACGTGTTAAGCCACTTCATTGAGCTATCAATTGTGGCCAGGTCCCTTCTAAGAAAGAAGCTTAATAAGCTCAGTGGGCTTTACCCGGTAAAATAAAAAAAAATAGTTTCGTTTCAGTTGTACATTTTTGTGTGATGATTTGAATACCTTTTCCTAGACTTTACACTCCTATCGCGTTTGTTTGTTGTTGTAACCTTTTGACCCCGTGCCCCTGCTGGACATCTGTGGAAAAAGAGAGCTTTGTCGCTCATCGGATTCCTCCTGCAGCACGAATACATCCGATTCTGTACGCGACTGCTGCGCGTTGTACGTGGCGTGGCTGCGCGTGGCTGCGCGTGCTTCGTGTGTGGCAGGGAAGAGAGGAGGAGGAGGAGAAGGAGGAAGGGGTGGGAGCTGCCTTCTCCGAGAAGCCGGCATGGACCCAAGTCTTGGCAGCAGTGCTGCTCGTTGCATCTTGGGGGCCTCGTCAACGGTTCTGTTGCTGCTCCGTCTGGACTACGCCGTGGGGCTCGAGGCTGGGGCGGGTGCCCACCACTCCAACCACATGCGTGTTAGACGAGATGAGGAAACGGGTAATCGTAATAATAATTTCGTATGTACCGTAGACTCCCCCCCCGCGTCTTCACGACGGTAATTTGTTCCACGAAATCTGGTCGTTAAGTGATTTGGCCGTTAAGCGAGTATAGGGAATGCGCGTTAAAGGCTTAATCCGTTCCGAGAGCATCGACAGTAACCCTATTTCACCCCCAAAAAATACTTTATAATATTTAAACAATGGATTTTAATACATCAAGGTAATAGCACGAAAGCTTTAAATCAAAATATAAATACAACATTTTAAAAGAAACATGATTAATCAATGCATTAATTAATATTTACTGTACCAATAATAGCACGTCATTAACAGGGGAATGGTCGGTAAGTAAACACATTGGGATTTATGGAGGCATTACTCTACATTACACTATACACTACAATACTCTACATTACACTATGCACTACAATACTCTACATTACACTATACACTACACTACTCTACATTATACTATACACTACAATACTCTACATTACACTATGCACTACAATACTCTACATTACACTATACACTACAATACTCTACATTACACTATGCACTACAATACTCTACATTACACTATACACTACAATACTCTACATTACACTATGCACTACAATACTCTACATTACACTATACACTACACTACTATACAATACACTACACATGGGGCTCTATGGAGGCACGACTATACATTACACTATACACTACAATACTCTACATTACACTATGCACTACACTACTGTACACTACACTACTATAGACTGCACGATACACTACACTATACACTACACACTACTATATACTACACTATACACTACACTACTATACACTACACTATACACTACACTACTATACACTACACTACTACACACTATACTAGACACTGCACTATACACTACACTACTGTAGACTGTATGACACACTACACTATACACTACCATATACTACACACTACACTACTATACACTACACTACTATACACTACACTATACACTAATATATACTACTCTATACACTACACTACTATACACTACACTATACAGTACACTACTATATACTACACTACTACACACTATACACTACACTACACACTACACTACTATACACTACACAACTATACACTACACTATACACTACACATTGGGCTGTATGGAAGCCCGTCGTTAAGTGACTAGTCTTTAATAGGGGTGGTTGTTAAGAGGGGTTTTACTGTATTTTGGACCTTTTTTTGCACCGTACGTAGCTAACTGTGCTAATAGGAGTTGCGGGGGAAAGGACAACAATCTAAACACAAAAAGCAGTTCGAAAGAGTTGAATTTTCAATCTAGATGTATTCATATTTAGCGCTGTATATTTAATTTATATATAGCGTTATTCATGCTAATTGCATACCATAAGGCTGTACATTAATATTACGTATGAGGGCCCAATCCTATTTATAGCAGCTCCCAAGCAAAGGAAAACACCCAGAAAACAAACTAATAATGAAACACAAAAAGAATTGGCACCGAAAAAAACGAATTAAAAAGATGCACAAAGAAACAACAACAACAACAACAACGAGTTTTCACAACAGAGCAATCAGTCCATGAGTCCACCAGGTCACACCCCACACCACAAATCCAGAGCTTGCGGGTTGATTTCACGGCTCGCGACGCGATTCGGTCAACGTTGCACACTCCTCCGCACCCTGGGCGCGTTTCTATTCAGGTGCGGGGCTTCTTCTTATTGACACGCTTTTATTTAACTCACTGTCTGTTGTTGTTGTTGTAGTCGTTGTTGTTGTCATTTTTTCTATCCACGTGACCTTACCGAAAGCAACCGTACAATATGAATGATGATGATGATGGCGCTGACGATGGCAATAAGTGGCTACGTGGCGGGGGATGATCGTTATGATGTCCGCTGCGCAGGCAACGATACGGGGTGCGTGGGACCCGCTTCGGACGAGTTCCCCCCCGGGTTCTTCACTCCGGAGGAGCAGCGTGAGGGCGGTGTCCTCATCTACATACTCATTGCCCTCTACCTCCTCCTCGCCATCGCCATCGTGTGCGACTATTACTTCCTGCCATCGCTCGAGCTCATCAGCGATCGTGAGTCGACGCGGCCGCGTCTGCGGCGCTGAACCATCCTTCGGGCCGTGCTTAGCCGGCCGTGCTCATCGGAGGATGCGCGGATCTAGAGGGTTGTCAGGGTGGCGAAGGGGGGTGAGGGTAGTAGGTGTTTAGGGAGGGGGGAGAGATTGTTTACAAAGTGCTTGCCGCAAGTGGACCGCATTACCTCGCTGATCTCGTCCAGGAGCGTAGACCACCACGTGAACGCAGCGGCGGATTTTGGCTAATCATCATGCAACAGAGACGGCCAGATGCGCTTCTGCGGCCGTCTGGAACGCTCTTCCTTCCGACATCAGGAAGCCACAGAAAGGGCGCGAAAAAAGTTCAACAAACGTGCATACATACAAATAGGGACCCACATTAATTAACAACAATGGAAAAATACTTGCAACGCATTCCCGCTGGTAAATATCAATAAAATATTGATATTTACCAGTCGGGTCTAAAGGGGTGATTACCCATCGACCCACTCCTCTGCCTAGGCTGGGCAAATGGGCCATTGTCCAAGGCCCAAAACGAAAGAGGGGTCCACCATAAAAATAAGTGTGGGCGGTGACGTGGCCAAGCGGGTAGGTAGCAACGCCACGTGTTGAAGACATTATCGCGGCTTTAACCCCAGTGGCCGCCCCGGTAAATATTGCCCATCCAGCTTCCGCAATTTGACAAAAACCTGGCGACTATCATAAGTGCGATGTGATTGTTTGGAATTCAATAATTTTGCGAGTGAATTTTTTTTGTTGCTGTTGCAAATTTTGACCGCGACAGCCGGCGCAGCAGGGCATACTCCCTTTTTTTTTAAATGAACGGACATCAAGGGATCCTTAACGTCCGTTGCGAAGCGGACGGCGCATACGTGTGGTCTATTCACCCACAGTATCCGCTGGGGCTAGAACAACGAACCTCTGCGACGGGGCGGAAAACCCTGATTCCACTCGCTTCTGCAACACTGACACTCGGGTGGGGTTCACAAATTGTTCGGTGCATCAAGACGCACCCTTGCCCGCTTACGGATATTATAACAAACAAAAAAGATGACTGCAGCTTCGTCCATTCGTACAATAACAACTTCAAGGTCGTGATTGTTCATTGCGCCGAGTTTTTATTGAACCATAAAAATCGGTCAATGCAAAAATAAAAGATGGCCATCTAAACAGGACAGCTGTTTCAAATGATCCAATTTTGTTTCTCCAAATTGCAATCACCATTTGTAAAACAATTACAGTAATAGCTTTTTTTTTGCTCCTTTTGTAATCGATTTTATAGACTTTTGTTTCAGCTTAAATAATGCATTGCTACTTTTATTGTAAATTCCACACACATAATAGTAACACTGCTAAATGATAAAAAAAAAATATACCACTGCTTTTAAACTCCGCAATCGGGATCCCTGAGTTTGGTGCGTTGAGTCTTGAGTGTTTCCACTGAGCCTTCATCATCACGTGATGCTGCCTTGGTGATGTAATGCAGTGGTTCTTAACCTTTACTACAGCCTTGCATCCCATTGGTTCTCGGTGACAATGTTTTTACAATGTCAATAAATACACAGGTCTGATGAAACAAATTAGTTGTACTTACGTGCCCGTGCCTAATTTGTGTTGTCGATTATTTATTTTCTATAAAAGTCTGGCCATGTCTCGCACTCCCAGAAAGGGCATCTCGCACGCACCCCCAGGGGGTGGGTGCACCCCAGGGTTAAGGAGCGCTGATTAAATGGTTCACACGGTAGACTTACAGGGACTCCTACTTACAGTGAGGGAAAAAAGTATTTGATCTCCTGCTGATTTTGTACGTTTGCCCACTGACAAAGAAATGGGCAGTCTATAATTTTAATGGTAGGTTAATTTGAACAGTGAGAGACAGAATAACAACAACAAAATCCAGAAAAACGTATGTCAAAAATGTTATAAATTTATTTGCATTTTAATGAGGGAAATAAGTATTTGACCCCTCTGCAAAACATGACTTAGTACTTGGTGGCAAAACCCTTGTTGGCAATCACAGAGGTCAGACGTTTCTTGTAGTTGGCCACCAGGTTTGCACACATCTCAGGAGGGATTTTGTCCCACTCCTCTTTGCAGATCTTCTCCAAGTCATTAAGGTTCGAGGCTGACGTTGGGTAACTCGAACCTTCAGCTCCCTCCACAGATTTTCTATGGGCTTAAGGTCTGGAGACTAGCTAGGCCACTCCAGGACCTTAATGTGCTTCTTCTTGAGCCACTCCTTTGTTGCCTTGGCCGTGTGTTTTGGGTCATTGTCATGCTGGAATACCTGTCCACGACCCATTTTCAATGCCCTGGCTGAGGGAAGGAGGTTCTCACCCAAGATTTGACGGTACATGGCCCCGTCCATCGTCCCTTTGATGCGATGAAGTTGTCCTGTCCCCTTAGCAGAAAAACACCCCCAAAGCATAATGTTTCCACCTCCATGTTTGACGGTGGGGATGGTGTTCTTGGGGTCATAGGCAGCATTCCTCCTCCTCCAAACACGGCGAGTTGAGTTGATGCCAAAGAGCTCCATTTTGGTCTCATCTGACCACAACACTTTCACCCAGTTGTCCTCTCAATCATTCAGATGTTCATTGGCAAACTTCAGATGGGCATGTATATATGCTTTCTTGAGCAGGGGGACCTTGCAGGCGCTGCAGGATTTCAGTCCTTCACGGCGTAGTGTGTTACCAATTGTTTTCTTGGTGACTATGGTCCCAGCTGCCTTGAGATCATTGACAAGATTCTCCCGTGTAGTTCCGGGCTGATTCCTCACCGTTCTCATGATCATTGCAACTCCACGAGGTGAGATCTTGCATGGAGCCCCAGGCCGAGGGAGATTGACAGTTCTTTTGTGTTTCTTCCATTTGCGAATAATCGCACCAACTGTTGTCACCTTCTCACCAAGCTGCTTGGCAATGGTCTTGTAGCCCATTCCAGCCTTGTGTACGTCTACAATCTTGTCCCTGACATCCTTGGAGAGCTCTTTGGTCTTGGCCATGGTGGAGAGTTTGGAAGCTGATTGATTGATTGCTTCTGTGGACAGGTGTCTTTTATACAGGTAACAAGCTGAGATTAGGAGCACTCCCTTTAAGAGTGTGCTCCTAATCTCAGCTCGTTACCTGTGTAAAAGACACCTGGGAGCCAGAAATTTTTCTGATTGAGAGGGGGTCAAATACTTATTTCCCTCATTAAAATGCAAATCAATTTATAACATTTTTGACATGCGTTTTTCTGGATTTTTGTTGTTGTTATTCTGTCTCTCACTGTTCAAATAAACCTACCATTAAAATTATAGACTGATCATTTCTTTGTCAGTGGGCAAACGTACAAAATCAGCATGGGATCAAACACTTTTTTTCCCTCACTGTACGAACATTCAACTTACGAACTTTCAGAGATACGAAACAAACCTGGTCCGTATGTCCAGTGACCTTTTTCGCGGACCGAGAGCCGTAAGTTCAACCGCCGCGCAATATATGGCAGTCGTTATTGGGTGTCATTCCCCAGCATTCCCAGCATTTCAGCCTGCGTCACCGCCATTGTCTCTTGTTGTCTTGTTTTCTTTGGTTATTTCGGTAAAGTCACCACGTAGAATGAGAATAAAATAATAAATTAATAAAATAAAATAACACAATAATATTCTCACGACGTTTCGGCCACAACACAAGCGGCCTTCATCAGGTGAAGGGACGAGACTGTCTGGAGGACAGCGCTGGAGCGAACACAGCCAAGCTCAGACCGCGACCTTTAAGCTGTGTGAGAAGAAAACAGAGCGCCTTGCTAATTCCTTTGTCAAGGCGCTCTGTTTCTTCTCACACAGCTTAAAGGTTCGCTCCAGCGCTGTCCTCCAGACAGTCTCGTCCCTTCACCTGATGAAGGCCACTTGTGTTGTGGCCGAAACGTCGTGAGAATTTTATTGTGTTATTTTATTTTATTAATTTATTATTTTATTCTCATTCTACGTGACTTTACCGAAAGAACCAAAGAAGATGAATCCTTACAGTCATGAATGCTTTAAATCGAAATTGTTGTGTTGTCTCTGTGCTGTTTACCACGACGTTGTCTCTGTTTTTGCACGAACCTTATCAACCCCCATCGTGTCTCAGAAGCGTAAGAGTCGTGACAGTGTTGAGGGTGGTAGTAAGAAGCACCAGTGGCGTCTACAGGAGAGCCTTTTCTCCGTGTTTAGTGCACATGTCGTAAAACACTAACAAATCGACTTACGAACAGACCTCTGGAGCCTAACTCGTTTGTAAGTAGAGGAGTCCCTGTACAATCCAGATGGTTGCCGGCCTGCGCTCAAGTTTCATAACCCCCTCCACCACTGCACTCTGTCCACCCAGCAGCAGTTGTAATTGGGTTCACAATAGTGAGTCGGTAGGTTGCGTGTTGTAGGGCAAAGTGTGGGCAGTCGCACCTCTTCCAGGATGTTAACTCCCACGCACCTCCGATTAGCACGGTTGGCTACGCACGGCGCGCAGAGAAGTTCAACACGCACACATACACATGTATGTACGTAAGCGTGGAATGGTAGGACAAAAAATGCCGTCGAGAACGGCTCTCTTTATTTAATCTCTATCCAAGTAAAGGCACTTTCGCCAGCAGTGGCATTAACGAGCAATTTCAGGCCTGCGCCTTTGCCTTTCTACTTATGCAATCGTAGTGTGTACACACTGCATAGCTCTGTGTTTGCGAGCTCAGTACACAATTTCACAGTCACGACCCTTCGGACTCGTTTTTGCTTTGTGAGGCGCTTCGTGCGAAGCATTTTTTGTACGTTCAAAATAAAACAAGTAGAATTGTGAGAAACTCGGTTCCGAGAGATATAATTAAACCTTTTCAAAAGCTGTAATTTGGCTTCACATTTATCTGTACCTTGTCATGGTGGTTATGAAGATTATAGAGATGCACGTGCCATATTCTCTGGAATATAAAGCAAACGTTTTTTTTTTCTGCAAATTACTCGATTGGCATCATGCATAGAAATCATTGCCCCTTACTGGCAGACTAACGCCCCAGGTCACACTTGCAAATGTGTGTGTGTGTTGAACTTCTTTCGCACCGTACGTAGCCGACCGTGCAAATTGATTTCTTAGCCGGTTAAACAAAATAAACGTGAACCTTAAACCCCCTGGTCGTCTGTGAAAAAAAGCTTCATAGCTCATCGGATTCCTCCGGTCTAAAATAAAGATTCTGATAAACGCATTACATCATCAAACAACTCCCATGACTGACAACAGCACGGGGTGGTCTTCGTCCAGCGGTGGATCGACAAAGCGCTGCGAATGTGCGTGCGTGACCTGAACATGCTTTGTCCCGTCCCCCCCTTCCTTCCTTCCTTCTGTCGTCCTGACTCAGGCCTCGGTCTCACGATGGATGTGGCAGGAGCCACGTTCATGGCGGCAGGCAGCTCGGCCCCGGAGATGGTCACCGCATTCCTAGGTCTGGCACTGCCACACACAAATAACCTCCCCCCCCCCGCCGTATAGCCTCAACATACTGTTAGGGCAAGTGCTGTCAGCAAGCAGCAGCAGCACCTGTGAAGGCCAACGCGGCACGCCCAGCTGCCTTTTTACCTCCCCAGCGCCGATGTTTACACACCGCACCACTCATTTAAGGTTTGAGTCGACCTCGGGAAGACGGACGACCGGCGGAAACATCCTCCACTGTTATTGGTCGTCGTCGTCGGGGGGGGGGGGGCTCGGGATGCAGCGCGCTAACGACGGCGCGGGGAGCCATCTCGTGTGGAGGTGTACTGACAAAGGCCCCCCCCCCACCCCCGCTCGCCGCCCCCCTCTCTCTCTCCCTCTCTCGAATGGAATACGAAGAGCAGGCGAGGCCAGCTTCGGTGACTCAGTCACTCTGCATGGCCGGCGGTGGCGACGTACGCCCCGTGACCCGGCAGCTCCGATTAGCACGGTTGGCTACGTACGGTGGGACCGAAGTTCACCGTACGTGCGCACGTGGCTGATTAATTGGCGAGCGTCAAGGAGGCGAACCCTTTTAGTGTTGGATTTTTTCTTGGGGGGGGGGGGGTCTTCGTGCCACGGTGGTGAGATGTTAACGACCTCGCCCGATGTACAGGAGTAGGTCGTGATGACCTCCTCATCACGATGAACAAAAATGCACCGTCTGCTTCACAGTAGACGTTAAAGACCCCCCCCCCCACCCATGGGACCTTCTTGCCAGCATTCAAAACCTGTGGCGGCAAGGGTTGGTGGATCATCGCACAAATGTCGTGTGTGTAGATATATACCTACTCTTTGGTTCTATTCGGTAAAGTCACGTAGGTAAAAAATAAAACAACAAAAATCACGACGTTTCGGCCACAACACAAACGGCCTTCATCAGGTGAAGGGTCGCGCTTCTGCCCCGCGGGTTATTCATCACCTGATGAAGGCCGCTTGTGTTGTGGCCGAAACGTCGTGATTTTTGTTATTTTATTTTTTACCTACGTGACTTTACCGAATAGAACCAAAGAGTATGGATCCTTGCAGTCATGAAAGCTTCAAATCTAGAATAGATATATACCTGTATACACCTCCCCAGCTGCTCTTTAATCTTGGCCACCGCCTGCCCACGCCGCATGACGACGGGGCAACGCTTAGGGTCGCGCTTCTGCCCCGCGGGTTATCGCGGCTTTGCCCGTGCCCTTTCCCTTTGCCGCCTCCGCGCAGGTGTGTTCGTGACCAAGGGGGACATTGGGGTCAGTACGATCGTGGGCTCGGCCGTCTACAACCTGCTGGGAATATGCGCGATCTGCTGCCTGTTCTCCCCGTCGGTACGTACGCACGGGGCACGCCCCCCGCCCTGCTCCGTACGCCGCCGGGAGGCGCGACCCTCCACGAGGAAGGAAAGAGTCGCAGGCGTGGCCACGAGCGCGCCGCGTCCCAACGCGCCGCTTTGCCCTCGGGGGCGGGCAACCCCGTTCGCGGAGAGTCGACGTCACGCCACGAGCCACGCGGGCGACGTCGCACCGCGGGCGGCGAGGCCGACGACGCGACGGGGACGACGTCGGCCTCGTCGTTGGGAGGGGGACTGGCTGATTGATTGGCGAGCGTCAAGGCGAACCCTCTTTTAGCGCTGTTTTTTTTTTAGGGGGGGGGGGGGGGGGCGGTTTCCACGCCTCGGTGGCGAGATGGTAACTACCTCGCCTGATGTACAGGAGGAGGTCGTGATTAATACTGAGGTGTGTTTTAACAATACAAAAAAAAATGCACCGTCTGCTTCGCAGCGGACATTCAAGACCCCTACGGGACCTTTTTGGCAGTATCCAAAATGATGAAAAATAAGAAGAGTTCTTACCATTTCTGGCAAGAGGCGTTCAGATGTTCAAACACCAAATAAACACTTTTTTGCAAGGCATCAAGTCTGCATTAACCACACGTGCTTGTGGCAAAAACATGCAAACAAACACGCTCTGTTAATATATGCGTTGTCTTTGAAACGGATTGGCCTACACCAGAGACATTCTTACTCATGGCCTTGTCTCACGACCAGCGTCAGAACAGTGAACAACGCCAACATTCCAACAGAACACCCATAGCTCGGGTCGAGCAGTTCTATCAATGGGACCTTTTTGCCAGTATATTACGTGCAAATCAACCCAGCTGGGATCATGCATCACAACCGTCGCCACTCCCACCTGCGATATCTGGGCAGGATCCTCCTGATAACGAATCATGAGACTCAGCGAGGCTTTCCTTAGGCAAACAACTACGAGGAGGGGCGGAGGAGGAGGAGGAGGAGATATTGTGCCCACCGTGCTTGTAAATATGGAGATCGGGCGATTTGTTTCGAGTTTCAGTGAGTCAGATGGGCCCTAAATGCGGTGTCTGCGCGTCTGCAGCGGCGCAGTGAACGTGCAAACGTTGGGCCAACGTTGCACGCTTGCAAGGTGCAGGGTCAAGAACGATATTGCCCTCTGTACTGGCCACCTAATGCTGCCACTGCAGAATGGTCAACGCACTTGCAGTCCAGAGGTCGCCGCTTCAATTGAGCAGCGCAGCATTTGACACAATTTCACGAATCTACTTTGGTTCTTTCGGTAAAGTCACCACGTAGAATGAGAATAAAAGAATTAAATAAAACAATAAAATTCTCGCGACGTTTCGGTCACAACACAAGTGGCCTTCTTCAGGTGAAAGGAACAAACCTGTCGGGACGACACAGAGCTTGTAGCTTGTAGCTGTGTCGTCCCGACAGGTTTGTTCCTTTCACCTAAAGAAGGCCACTTGTGTTGTGGCCGAAACGTCGTGAGAACGACAGAGCTTGTAGCTGTGTCGTCCCGACAGGTTTGTTCCTTTCACCTGAAGAAGGCCACTTGTGTTGTGGCCGAAACGTCGTGAGAATTTTATTTTTTTATTTCATTATTTTATTCTCATTCTACGTGACTTTACCGAAAGAACCAAAGAAGATGAATCCTTGCAGTCACGAAAGCTTTAAATCGAAATTTCACGAATGTCATAAATGCCCCCCCTGCCTCTGTCCACTTAGCAGTATCACCGGTCGCAGGTCGCGTTTGATCATCAGCGACGGATTTAAGCGGGGGTGGAGGGGGAGGGCGGTGATAGGGGCAAATGTAAAATATTGACTCAAAGCTTTCGTGACTGCAGGAATTCATATTCGTTGGGTCTTTCGGTAAAGTCACGTAGATCGGTTCAAGTTAATAGAAATAAAATAAGCAAAAAACGACAACGTTTCGATCACAACACAAGCGATCTGTTCTCCTCCTGATGACGATCGCTTGTGTTGTAATCGAAACGTGGTCGTTTATTTAAAAAAAAAATTAAACTACGTGACTTTACCGAAAGACCCAAAAGAATAGGGGCAAATGTGTTGTTTATGAATATCGGGCCTTGGTTAAAAAAAATATAACCGTGACATTTTGGGGGCGGTAAAGTCTGTAGAAACACCTCTGCATGCAGAGTGGGCGTTTGCTACATCTTCAAAGCCGCCTGTGCCGACGTGGAAGGGTGGGGGGCCAAAGCACCCCCTCTGGTGGAGGCCCTTTTATTAGCAGCAGTCACTCGAGCGGGTAACGTCACGGCTGAGCCTTCTACGTTTACGCTGCCATTGATCAGAATCAGAATGTTCATTTAGACTTCAGGAGAAATCCGATGAGCTATGAAGCTCTTTTCCCACAAATGTCCAGTATGGGCGGGTCAGCAGGTTACAACAGCAAGCAATACACAAAAAACACGATCGGAGTGCAAAATAGAGAAAATGGTAAGCAAGTTACGAAACAGAATGAATGATAAAAAAAAATTGATTAATGCATTGATCGATTGTATAAGTCCTATTTGATCAAGCTTGGGAAAAGTAGCAAAAACAACAACAAAAGCAGTCCCAGACCACACGCTACTTTACACCACAATATATACTACACTATACACTACTATATACTACACTATACACTACACTACTATACACTACACTACTATATACTACACTACTATACACTACACTGTACACCACAATATACACTACTATACATTACACTACTATATACTACACTACTATACACTACACTGTACACTACACTATACACTACTATACACTACACTACTATTTACTATACTACTATACACTACACTGTACACTACACTATACACTACTATACACTACACTACTATATACTACACTACTATACACTCCACTATACACTACACTATACACTACGCTACTATACAATACGCTACTTTACATCACACGATACACTACACTATACACTAAACTACTATACACTACACATCGGGTGAAGCGATTCGTTGTTAACAGGGGTGATCGTTAAGAGGAGTTTCTGCCGCATATATCTCTATTCGGCTATCCGTAATAAGAAGCTCGCTTGCCTTGGCTGCATTCCCCGGTCAAACGGGCAACATCGGCACGATTTTTATTTTTTTAAATCTGCAAGCCCAGCACGTTGGCCCAACGTTAGCCCGACAGTCCATGGGTGACCTCCGCATGGTTTGCGACAAGCATCTTGGGCCCACTCCAGCTCGTGCACAACCCAGGATGCGCACGCGCGCGGTCTCATCCCGTGGGGAAAAAAAAACAAAACGTCGACCGCCGCTATGAGTAATAACAAAAAAAAATCTCCGCCGTTTATGTTTCAAATTAAATTTCGGGTACAATTAATACAACAAAAAGTTATTTGCCGCTGACATTCGAGGCCCCTAGACGGCCTCGCACCGTCGTGACATTCAACAAACTGGCACGCCTCGAAATTGTCCCGTTTATAAAATGTGAATGACCCATTGCTGCTGTTGATATTATTTCCCATGCCGGGTTTGGGTGCCCTGATCGTCGTTGGCGTGCGTCGACGCGTCGCGGGTTCAAGGCCTCGCCGCTCTCACATTGGCCCCTGCTGCGAGACTCCCTGGCATACGCTGTGAGCGTGGCCGTGCTCATTGGCTGCATACACGATGGGAAGGTTCACTGGTAAGTCGTGCCCGTACACATCACACACCACACACACACACCACACAATAGGGCTGAACGATTAATCGATTTTAAATCGAAATCGCAATTTGAAACAATGCGATTAGCAAATCGCAAAGTGCTGCGATTTTTTGCGATTTGACAAGTCCTATTACTTTCTTACACACTGCAGTCGTCGTTGATGATGGTCACGCACTTAAACACTATCCTGGCCTAGCCCCTGCTTAGCTTCGGAGATCGGATGCACCATGCGTAGCGGGTGTTACAGGCAGTAACATCACTTGTCGTACTCTCCTTGCGTGCTCTCGTGTCAGTCATCGCCGCCTTCGTCAACCCCGCGCTGACCGGCGTGGTGAAGTACGGTCAAATGACCCCCTTTCGGCCAGCGAGGCTGTGGGTCGGGGAGGCCCTCACCCAGCAGTGGATTTTGACACCGGGCCCGCACGCGCACGAGTGCGGGGGGACTTAAAAAAATATTAATTTTTTTTTGGGCCACGGCGAGGGTCGTTTTTAATCTATCATAGCAAAGATAGCGAAGTAATTACTGGGGGGGTGGGGGGGTGGGGGGGGGGTCCTTTTGAGTTATTTTTCTCATTCCGCCGAGCGCGAGCTGCGACCACGTAAGAAGACAGATAGCCCTGCTGCCATTTAGTCCATTGACTGAGTTAATTAAACCCGGCCGCCGCCGCAAAAAAAAATCTTGCATCGTGCATTGCACGAGTCATCTACGGAATGAAAGGAGAGGGGCGAGGAGGGGGGGGTGATGCGTTCTCCCCCCCCCCCCGCCCCCCACAGCTCTCTTCTTTCCAACCGCGTTGCATGGCCAGGTGTGAGCAGAATCTGTAATGATCGTGGCTCCGTTTAATGTCACCATGCTATTGATTCGCTGCCCTCCCCCCCAACCACCTCTAGGAGACTAAAGACGGCTCACCGGTAACTTCAAAGGGGGACGACGTTTTTTTTGCGCACTTTACGGGCCGCGTGTCATTGTCTGACGGGTTTTGCGCGCAGAATTAGACCTTTGAAATGCAAAATATGTAGCCTCTAAGCAGGCGACGTAGTTTTGATGTTGGCTCGTATTGCAATAAAATGAACCGGAGCTGAGACGATTGGTCGATCAATTGACCGTATCGAATTCAAGATCACGAGGTTTATTTTTTTTTGCCTGGTCGATTACCATAGGAATGCGGCAGGGACTGTCGCCTCCATAAGATGATCAGGAGGACCCTTTAACGTTTTTTTTTTACTTTTATCTTGAAAATAATCAAAATTTTACACTAATAAGGTTGGCCACGTGGCCAACACTAATACGGTTGGTCACGTGGCCAACACTAATAAGGTTGGTCACGTGGCCAACACGAATAAGGTTGGCCACGTGGCCAACACTAATAAGTTTGGTCACGTGGCCAACACTAATAAGGTTGGTCACGTGGCCAACACTAATAAGGTTGGCCACGTGGCCAACACAGCAAAATGAGCTGCATCAAGTGAACAGCTCTGGGACACAAGGGATTATATACAGGTTAAGGGGGGGGGGAGCCAGGGAGGGACGTGGGTGGAGAGGGGGGGGGCTAAGTTAAGCCGCCTTTTGTTATTCTGCAGGGGGTTCGGGGGGAGGGTGATGGCGTGCTGCACGGGAGCGAGTACAATCCTGGTAGAAACGGAAATGATCTTCTTTGGTTCTTTCGGTAAAGTCACCACGTAGAATGAGAATGAAATAATAAATCGATAAAATAAAATAACACAATAAAATTCTCACGACGTTTCGGCCACAACACAAGTGGCCTTCATCAGGTGAAGGGACGAGACTGTCTGGAGGACAGCGCTGGAGCGAGCGCCCTCCAGACAGTCTGAATTCACCTCGGAGGATGACGAAAAGAATGCATATGTTGATTTTGGCTGCGATGCGGTGAACGCTTCTTTGCAGCGGTGTATGTGAGCATTAACAGTCACCTCAGAATCAGAATCTTTTTAGCGGAGGAGTCCGATGAGCTATAAAGCTCTTTTTCCACAGATATCCAGTAGGGGCGGGTAAGAACCCGTTACCTGACGAGGCCTCAAATGTAGTCCGGTGATGTCTCTTTCCGTGGGCCGTTCTCTGACACGGGATGGTGTTTTTGCTTTGCGAGAGTTTCTTAGTTTCACGATGCGACCGCCGATGCTGCAATTACAATAAGATTTACAAAATGTGTCTATACACATATACAAATCTTCAACGTAAATCCCCACTCGTGCGCGTTTCGACGTCACCGTCTGGCGTGAAATCGATCGCAAGTGCCGGCAATGCTGTCGTGCAATTCACACAATAGTATGAACTCCTGTTCCTGCGATTACTCGGCTGAGTTAACCTCACACACGCGAGCATTCTCTCATCACTCTGTCTCATCACTTTCTCTTATCACTCTCTCTCTCATGCCATCGGCGTAGCTTTCCAGATGCGATTCGCGGAGAGCCAAAAAAGTCCGCGAACGACGAGGGAAAACTTTCGTTGTCCTTCCCCCGCACCTCCGATTTGCACGGTTGGCTACGTGCGGCGCGAAAGAAGTGTCAACGTACATACAGACCTACCGTCGTTACGAACGCTTCGGGGAAACATCATCTCCAGTGCATCGGCGGCGGTGGTGGCGGTAGCGCGCCACGAGCACCGAACGATTTATATTTACTTACGCGCTCTAACTCAACAACGAACGAACGAACAAACAAACAAACAAACCCCCTCCGACAAAAAATCTTTACCACGGACGATATCGGTCGCGAAAGCCCGCGTGTCAAACTCAAATGGCTTCTCTCGCAGGTACGAGGCCCTCTCGCTCGTGTCCGTCTACGCTGCCTACGTGGTGGTGCTGCGCTTCGACGCGCGTCTCCACCGCGCCTTCACGCGCGGTTGCCTGTGCCTCCGCCCGGCCGGGCAGCACCGCCGCCGCCGCCAGCCGGGCAACGGCCCCGAGGCCCGGCCGCTCGTCGGCGGCGGCGAGGAGCGGGGCGATGCGGCCGGCGAGGACCACGGCGGCGGCACCTCCCGGCGCTCCTCGACGGGGGTCAACGACTTCCTGCACGGGCGCACCAGGTCGGACAGCGGCGTCATCCTCAGGGACGGCTCCGACTACTCGCAGTTGACGCTCAGCCTGCACGGGCTCACGTCGCTGGAGGACGAGGGTCAGAGTTCGAACGCAGCACCACTGCCCCCGTCGAGTTCGTTCACGGGTCGGGTGTTGTTTTCACGTGGGCGTGCGGGCGTGGTGACACGCGGAGAGCAAACCCGCCGGAAGTCTGTGAAAAGAAACTGGACTTCTGTGGGCAAGGGCGGCGGAGCTCCATCTGGATTCCTCAAGGATAAAATAAATATTCAGATTCTGTTTAAATATCACGATTCTGTTTAAAGCCCGCCTCAAGATGCGCTACGTTTCTCTTGCAAACCCGTTCTCCTAATTAGCTCCTATAGCTTCTCAGTTTCCTCTGCATGGCTGCTGGCCAACGATGTATTTATTTATTGTTGTGATCTACAACGCAGCCAGTGCCTTGCACAGAGGCGCTACATAAATGTAATTTATTGTCACAATTATCCTTTCAATCACGTCGTTCGGTGGTGGAGGGGGTAACACCAACAATACCGGCACAAACAACTACCGCCACGTTTATGTATGTACTAGCGGTAAGTACCCGGCGTTGCCCGGGCGACAGACACACACATCGACCTACACACACAGACATTGACCCACACACACAAAGACATCGATGTACACACACACACATATGGACTCACACACAGACATCGACTTTAGATACACACACATATGGACTAACACACACACACATGCACCTACACACACACACACACAAAGAAATGGACTTACACGCTCTCATGGAGCCACACACACATTTGGACTGACACACACAGACACATCGACTCACACACACACACACATGTATCTTCTTTGTTCTTCTTTGGTTCTTTCGGTAAAGTCACGTAGAATGAGAATAAAATAATAAATTAATAAAATAAAATAACACAATAAAATTCTCACGACGTTTCGGCCACAACACAAGTGGCCTTCATCAGGTGAAGGAACGAGACTGTCTGGAGGACAGCACACTCGCTCCAGCACTGTCCTCGAGACAGTCTCGTCCCTTCACCTGATGAAGGCCACTTGTGTTGTGGCCGAAACGTCGTGAGAATTTTATTGTCATTTTATTTGATTAATTTATTATTTTATTCTCATTCTACGTGGTGACTTTACCGAAAGAACCAAAGGAGATGAATCCTTGCAGTCACGAAAGCTTTAAATCGAAATTTACACCCATGTATGTTTGTTGAACTTCTATTGCACCATACGTGGCCAAACGTGCTAATGGGAAGTGCAGGAGGGATGGGGTGGTCATCACCACGCCCGTCCGCCTTTGTCTCCCCTCCCCAATGCTGGTGTTTACACACACACCACACCCGGTACGAATTAAATTCAAGGCCGAGTCGACCTAGCGGAGGTCCAGGACCGTTTCAGATAATTGTTAACTGCTATTTGGCCTCGAGCGGAAAACTCAGGTCGCCGGGTTCGTAACGCAGTGCGCTAACGGCTACGCCAACACTCCCTATAAAATATAATTAATTACATAAAGGTGGCGTTTAGATTATTTGCCTGCTATGAATTTCCAAGTGATTAGCCACTTTGCTGAGCTATCGTTTGCGATAGCCAGGTAGCTTCTGAAAAAGCGCTATATAGCTCAGTGGGCCTTACCTGGTAAAATAAAAAGAGTTGATAAGTTTCATCCACTGCACGTGATTAGAACCGAGTTCTCAAGGGCGTGACGCGTTGATGGATCAAGGCACGGTCAGAAATGCTCTTTGGCTGCAATACATTTCCAGCCCACTTCGTTGGGGCTCTCATTCGTGATGGCCAGCTCAATCCTCCAAGAGAACTACACAGTTCGGTGGGCCTTAGCCGGTTAAAAAAAAAACCCGAAGGAATACAATCGTTTCGGTTTTTTTTTTAGTTCGTACCCCCCTCCGCGGCTCCCAAACGCAGAGCCGATGGGTCTGCTGCACGTGCCTCAAGGGGACGGACGGCGAGTGCTGTGGGTGCTGTCGCTGCCCGTGCTGCTGCTGCTGACGCTGACGGTGCCCGACTGCCGCGCGCGAAGCATGCGCCGCTTCTTCCCCGTCACCTTCTTCATGGCCGCCGTGTGGATCAGCGCGCTCACCTACCTGCTCGTGTGGATGGTCACGGTCACGGGTGAGTCGGGGTCTCGCGCGCGTGCGGTGCACGTAGCCGACCGTGGCTAATCGGAGGTGCGGAGGAAGGACAACAAACTAAACACAAAAAAGTAGTTCTAAGGAAGTGAGTTTTCAACCGAGATGATGATTCAAAAGCTGCACAGCTTCCAGTTGCTTCCCCATATCGGAAGGAAGAGCGTTCCAGACGGCCGCGGAAGTGCGGTGACCCTCTTTGTTCGACGGCCAGACAAAAGCGAGGATGGTCGCGGTTGCGGGTGAGTCTGATCTCACCATCATCGTCACCGATAGTGGTGAGATTGTTTACGATCATCACCGTCATCAGATAGTGATCATCACTGACATAAACATCGATCGGATGTTCCTTACAGATCACCGATAGCATTGCTTTGAACTCAGACCGATATGTCAAAGAGAAGGCATTTTCCTTTTACAGACATCCTGCAATATATACGGAACGGATACGTTCGTGACAAGTTGTCCATGAGGATAAAACAATTCCCTAAAATCCAGTTGCTTTATAACGAGGGGGGTTTTGTCCTACCTGTCAGTTCACCGGCATTGAATTCAAGGGAGCCTGACCCCGCCGATGAGACACTCGCCCCTCCGATTAGCACGGCTGTCTACGTAACGGTGCGAAAGAAGTTCAACATACATGCTCCGTGTCGAAACCGGTCCAGCGTTTTTTTGCTTGTACTGAATCGGTGCTACTGAAATGATGCACTCCCATAAAAGGTCGTGTGGCTGATGGGTTTGTGTGTAAGAAAAGATCTTTTAAAAAATATGTCACGTGGAGGGACCAATATGGGAAGGAGATGTATTGTCTGCTTATCTGTTTCGTTACCTATTACAATGGCTTGCAGTTTAAAGGCCTACATTCATAATTCAACAGTGGGTAAGCTGAAAAGGCCAAATTGGTGCACATCTCTGAAGGGCATGATTTATAATACCGACTTATCCCTTATTAATATTGGCCGTCCCGTATTGCCGTAAGCTGGCATTGAAATTATAAAAATGCCATTTAACCCCCTCCCTCATTTTTTGTCCCTTCAAATGAATCGTGCAATTATCAGTGTAATGGATCACAGCACAATCTTCTTGCTGAGTGCTTTCGCACTTATAATCTGGCATTTTTGCTGCTGCTGCTGCTGCTGCTGCTGGCAGGAATTTGTATGACAAAATGACGAATGTAATTTTTTGTTTACGCGTTCGCTGCTCATTTTAATTCTCCCACGTTTTATTCCGATTGTGCCGTTGGCCGCGGGGCAATGGCGAGCCCTTGCCTTGGCGAATGGGCGAATGGCCCACAGAAGCGGATATCACAGAGCCACTTTCCGAGATCCCTTTTGCAAGTGGCATCTGGTTCTACACACCTCGCGCGCAGTAAGGGCGCGGCACTTACCACCTGCCATATGACAGCGCCGTGTTCGTGGCGGATAAACTGACATTTCGATTGTCAGAGCTGAGACCGAAACTTCGTACGATGGGTTTTGTTTTGATTTGTGCAGTCATCGGTGACCAGGCCGGTGCAATGTTGTGAATTGAAAGTGGGGAAACCAAAATAAATAAATTGGAATCTACGATTTGGTTGTATCCGGGTGAAGAAGTGGCACAGTGGGTACTGATCTATGAACCTGATGAGTTCGATTCCTAGCCAATGACTAACATCAATGAACGGCGAGCGATACCTTAAACAGTCCTGCGCAACCCCCCTCCCCCCTTCACTGACCAGCAGTGGATTGACAAAAGGGGGCTGTTAACGTGCGTGAATGAATGAATTTCGCGATAAATCAGCGGTTGCCAACTGGCGTCTTCCCGAGCCGCATGCGGCTCTTTAAATCCAGCACATGCGGTTGTATCGAAGGAGCGTAACGTAGAAACGTGCAATCACAGTAGTAGCAGAGAATAATGAATGTGTCCCGTGCTGTGCTGAAAACTGTCAATACAAGGACTCCTCTACTTACGAACGAGTTAGATTCCAGAGGTCTGTTCATAAGTCGATTTGGTGTAAGTCCAACTTTACTCCTGCCGATTCCAAACGTGTTGTACGGCATTGTACACTAAACACAGGGAATGGCTTTCAAAGTTGTATAATGTGTAGATATAGATGACACTGGTTCTTCACGTTCTGCAGATGTAGATGCCACCACCGCCATCAATTGCGCGGCGGCTGTACTTACGACTCTCGGTCCCAACAGGCAACGTGACATACGCACAGGTTTGTTCGTATCTCTGAATGTTCGTAAGTCGAATGTTTGTAAATACAGGAGTCTCTGTATATATATCCACGCACACACACATATATACACTTTATCGCTTTGAGGGACTAGTGGGTATTTTTTTGGTCTTTTGGCCATTACAGGTTGGCCATCCCCGCCATGAATGAATGTAAGATCAGTGATAAATGATCGTCAAATCCCATTCACAGGGGTGGGTTAACTCAGCCCATCTCTCCCTCCGGGGGCCTTGCCATAGATAGGAACGTGGAATTTCCAGCTGTAAGCGCTTACAGTCGCTTACAACACAGGGTTGTAAGCGGCAGATGAGTACCGATGCCCCGGTGCTCGTTTGAGCAGTTAATCACTTTTGACTTTTTGACCAATGTCAAAATATAATTGATGTGATCTTAAACAAAAAGATGAACAAGTAACATCAATTTTTAAGGTTCATTTTTAAATAATCTAAACGCGTGACGTCGATTCTAAACGTGGAGGGCGGAAAACCCGGAGGACCCGGAGAAAAAAATCCACGCATCCACAGAGAGAGAGAGAAGACGCAAACTCCAAATACAGTATACAGCAGGCGTGGTGGTGGTCGGGATCGATCTCACGACCTCGTGCGCACCGGGCGAGGGAGCTAACATCTCGTTTATAAACGGGATGGATGCGAGACATCGCGTAAAGATTTCGGACATGTTCTACACTCCCGGCGTCCTTTTTCGGCGCCCTCAAAAGGGAAACCCTTTGATTTGTGGTACTGTAACATCTACAAAGACCCGGGTTGCCTCTTGCCAGGGCTGCGTGCGTGAATATAGATTTGTGTGCACGCGCGTGCACAGTGTTTGGGCGGCGTTATGGGGAGGGTTGGTGCAGTGGTTTTAGCGCACTGCGCCTGCGAAGCCAGTGAACCGAGTTCGATCCCTGGCCACGGTCAACATCAGTGGCCAAGGGGCCGTCCATAAAGGACGTCACGCACCTGGGCGGGGGGGGGGGTCAGACATTTGTGACGATGTGTGACGAGGGGGGGGGGAGTTTGAGAAATGTGACGTCACATCAAAATGCGCAACTTTAAATAAATAGTTTAACACGTAGGCTTTCGCGACCAATATATATAATTGTAATAACAACACTCCTACAACATCAGAGTGCAGCGCCACGTTAAATACGCACTACAATGACAATAGTTTAAAGCGATTTGAAGCATGTTTTATTTTCAAAATGGAAATATGGTTTGGGGGGGGGGGGGGCAGAGCTTTGTGACGTCATATTTGAGGGAGGGGGTCTGACTTTTTGTGACGCCGTGTGACTAGGGGGGGGGGGGCAAAAATCGTCCAAAATCGCGTGAAGTCATTTATGGACGGCCCCCAACATCTGAACTGGTTCTGGGCCCCCTCTGTGCACTGGTGTAGACCAGTGCACAGAGGAGGCAATTGCACCCCCTTCTTGTGTTGTACCGGTCTTCATGGGTGCTGTCTAAGCACTTCCCGCGGCAGCATGTGGAGGGGATCTTCGTCTTGTATGATGTGCGTGCGCACGTGGGTTTGAGCATGCGCGTTGCGTGCGTGGCCATGCTTGAGTGTGTGTGTACATGTGCCTCATTTGTGTATATTAGTGTTCTCAGAATGCTTGAATCCACGACTGTGTGTGTGCGTGGGGAGCGGTATAAACCCGGCGACCCGCGTTCATTTCCCGCTCACGGCCAACACCAGTGACGAATATCTGAACCGGTCCTGGGCCTCCTCTAGGTCGACTCAGCCTCAAATGAGTACCTGGTACGGTGTGTAAACATCGCTGCTTCGGGAGACAAAGGCGGCCGGTCGTCATGTTGGTCACCCCACCCCCTCGTGTGTCAGAATGCCGGCCTTCATAGGTGCCACTCGCGAAGTCTGGGGCACCGCGGTGGCTAGGAGATGTTAACTACCTCGCCCGGTATACAGGAGGTCGTGAGTTCGATTCCCAACCCTTGACGCCTGCTGCTGCTGCTGTATATTTGGAGCCTGAATGTTCTCCCCGTGGTCGCGTGGATTTCCCCCCTGGGTCCTCCTGTTTTCCCCCTCCACATTAACCATCAACATCGCGCGGTTTCAGAGCATTCGGCTGCCACACATCGCCACGTGATGGTAAGCCACTCGGTCGAGCTAGCATTTGTGATGGCCAGGTTCGCTTGTGGAAAAATAACAAAAAAATGTTGTTCATAGGGGAATCTTTGTCCTTTTGTCTGTTGTGCAGGCGAGACACTGGGCATTCCGGATACGGTGATGGGGCTCACCCTGCTGGCCATCGGCACCAGCCTCCCAGACACCATCACCAGTCTGCTGGTGGCTAGAGAGGGTAAGTGGCTGTCAACAGACAACAACAACAACGACCACAACAACAATGCAGCCAGCCTCCTCATGGTCCCTTCCCAGTGGTGTAACGATCGTGGGGGACAAGGGGCTGCTGCCTTGCCCCCCCCCCCCCACGTGGCCAAAGCTACAGATGTAAAATTACAGCAGACGCTTATTTTAAAACCCGGTTTAAATGTATTTGTACGCAAATGCTTTTTATTCACGTGCCACGTTTTATTTTGAATGCGATTCGAGCGGCGGCAGAGTGTGGTACACACAGCACCGGCCTGCAACACGTGGGCACCAGCCCGCCAGCGAGACAACTTTACCAACAAAAAACTTTTGCGAGCCACGTGCTGGGTTGCTGGCCGCTCGACGCCAACCTCCGCCTGCCCCCCCCCCCCCCCCCCGCCCGCCCCACCACCGGCCCTCTCCCCTTGTCATTCTCCATCCGCTCCTATCGCCACAGGCAAGGCCGACATGGCCATGTCCAACATCGTGGGCTCCAACGTGTTCGACATGCTGTGCCTGGGCCTTCCCTGGCTGTTGCTCACGGCCTTCGTGTCCCCGTCGGGCCCGGCCCACGTGAGCAGTGCGGGTCTCGTCTACTCGGCGTCGTCGCTGCTGATCTCGCTGGCGCTCCTGCTCGCGTGCGTCCACGCGGCGCGCTGGCGCCTCAGCCGGCCCCTGGGCGCCGCGTGCCTCGCCGCGTACCTCGTGTTCGTCGCCGTCGCCGTCCTGCACGAGGTCGGGGTGCTGGGCGGCGACCCCGCCGCCCGCGTCTGCGGAAAGTGAACCCTGAAGAGCCCTGGAGCACGAAGCCGCGGGGGGGACGGGCGGTCGGTCGGTCGCTCGCTCGCTCGGTCACTCGCGCGGTCGGTCGCTCGATCGGTGAGTCGGTCGGTCAGTCGGACGCCCGGTTGCTCGCTCGGGCGGTCGCTCGCTCGCTCGATCAGTCGAATGGTTGGTCGCTTGGTTGCTCGTTCGGTCAGTCGCTTGGTCAGTCGCTTAGTTGCTCGTTCAGACGATCGCTCGGTGGGTCAGTCGCCTGGTCGGTCGCTCGGTTGCTCGTTCAGTCAGTCGGTCGCTCGGTCAGTCACTTGATTGGTTGCTCGGCTGCTTGTTCAGTCAGTCGGTCGGTCGGTCAGTCACTAGATCGGTCGCTTGGTTGCTCGTTCAGTCTGTCGGTCGCTCGGTCGGTCAGTCGCTTGGTCGGTCGCTCAGTTGCTCATTCAGTCGGTCGCTCGGTCAGTCAGTCGCTCGGTCGGTCGCCTGCCGCCTGTCCAGAGTCCGGCAGAATTCAGGAGTTTCTTGTTGTCGGTTTTGTCCCAGTCACAGGAGTTAGGCTACACGGACAATAAAGGTGATAGCGAGTTGTGCGTTTAACGCCCGCAGTGTTGCACCCTGCAGAAAATGTTTGCGATGCTGCGTTGGCAGTGGCGCCCAAAGCACAAGTAACAGAAACTCAACACCGTCCCTCAATGACAAATATATCTAACGGACAACGGTTCGGGCAATGGCCCTTCTTCATGTGAAAGACTATCATACGTGCAGTATCCATTGTGTGCTTCGTGCATGGCCACGGTGCGTGTGGAATGCATTTTGCGTCATCAATGCAGTGCAGTCTTGTGACACGTGCAGGGCATGGTCAGAGAATCAATCCCAGGGTCACAATCGTGCTTTTCGCTATTTTAAAAATTATAACTATAACTGTTTTTTTTATTTCACCAGCTAAGGCCCACTGAGCTATGTAGTTATTTTACAGAAGCGACCTGGCCACAAGCGATGGCTCAACGAAGTGGCTCATCACGTGGAAATTTACAGCAGCCAAATACTCCAAACGCGTGTTTCTAAATGCCGAGTTAAAAAAAAAACCGGAGGACATGGAGAAAAATCCACGCGACCACGGGGAGAGACACACGCAGACTCCGAAATACATAAGTGTCAGGGTCGGGATCGAACCCACGGCCATCCTGCATACCAAGCGAGGTGGTTAACATTTCACCACCGCGGCACCCTAGCCGATGCGTGTACCATTGTTCTGCTTTGGATTGCCAGGTTAGTGGCATAGCCTGGCCTTTCCGCAGTGGAGAAAACAACCTCCTCTTGAGTTCCCTCACTTGCACCTGCCTACCTTTCCCTCTTCCCCGCTTGCTGTTTGAACTGTCTGTCTCTCCCCTTGCCCGCCCAAAGACGCCCCGTGGCCTCGTTATTCTGAGCCTTGGCTTGTGTCGGATGACTCAGGAAGAGCAAATCGTTGTTGCTCATTGAAAAACAAAAGAGATATGTACAGTACCTTTCGTGAACTCCACTGCTGGACAAAAACAAAATAAACATACCCCGAAATCATGAATCTGGAATTTCGTTTGAAGTTCACAGAAACTCGCTCTCCTGTTGTTTTATCACTTGACGCGGAGACGTTCGTGAAACGTCACGGTTTTCAGCGTTCATTTTTTGAAGCTGTACCTCCCCACCCCACCCCGCCCCCCCCCCCAACTTTCGACGTGAGATGAGCGCACCACGTGGGGGCTGCCGGGAAGTCCCGTCGTTTCGAAGCCGCGATTCGTATCGCGTTTAAAAATGTCACCGTGCGCACATTCACGCGAGGCGGTGGCACGCGGGGGACAGCGATTGTCGAGTTAATCACGCGCCGCGTGATTGGAAGGCGCGCTCCGTGGATTTTTAATCGTCGGAAAAGTCATCCGTGCGCAGTGCTAACCCGCCCGTGCTTCAAAACGAATTGCGCCCGCACTGGGTTTGAGCCGGTATCTTCTGCTCCAGCCCACACTCTCCGGCGAGCAGGAGCCCACCGCCGTTGGCTGCAGCAGCGTGTACAAAATTCTCCGGCGCGCGCCGTGACGGGGTCCTGCAAGATCCGACCGCGTCCGTCGAGAGCTCGCGGAGCTGCATGGGCTTCCGGCTTCCGGAGCGAATGCGTTCTGAGGTCACGCTCGTCACACACACAAAATGTTTGCCACAAGTGAGGCGCAATGCCTCGCTCATCTTGTCAAGGAACGTAGACCATCATCACGCCAACTGTGGTCACGCTCGCAGCGGCGGCTTTTGGCTGATGGCCATCGAGCGAGGACGGCTACCGCATCGCGCGCTTTGGGATGCGCTTCTGCGGCCGTCTGGAACGCTCTTGCGATACTGGGAAGCCACTGGACTGGAGCGATGCACTTTTACACGTCAATTGAAAACTCATTTCTTTAGAACTGCTTTTTGTCTTCAGTTTGTTGTCCTTCCCCGCACCTCCGATTAGCACCGTTGGCTACGAGAAAGAAGTTCGACACACGTTGGCGAGCATCGTACGTAAGTAAGTGAGTTGAACTTCTTTCGCACCGTACGTAGCCAACCGCGCAAAATCGTCGCTCTCAACCCTGGGGGACACGAGAGCCTTTCAGGGGTCGGGAAAGGGGGGCTCAGCCCGTGGCATGGATACCGTGCAGGAGAAATTTCCGACGCGCGCGCGAAGAGAACGCTGGGGCCACGTTGCAGAGACAAAAGCCCTCGTACGTTGTGGAACATTTCATGCGCAGCCTTTCGCCACCGTTGTTCAGATTTCGTGCGTAGTTTTTTTGTTGTTTTCAGGATCGATCGGGGTACAGCGCTCCAGCATCTCAGAATCAGAATCTGTACTCATACCGGAGAAATCCGATGCGCCGTTGGGGCTCTTTTTTCTTCCACAGATGCCTGACACTGTCAGGCAAGTGAAGCTGGGACATGGCCAAGTGTGACAATTGATTTTGGATTTTTTTTTTCTTTTTCCGGCAAGCCCCTGTGTTGGGTCGCAAGCGAATGTCTTGACAATTGTACGCGACGCATCTATGCGGAGCGTAGATTATTACATCCGGGCATCATCAGCTGGTTAGCCAGCGCGCTGAGATTCACCGATATCCAATATTGCTCACTCTAGGTCTGACGTCAGACCAACGCCAATCGATCATGTGGGGGGGGGGGGGGGGGTACTTGATCACACTTCACCACGTTGGTTAATACAAGTTTGTTATGGGGAGGGCAGGGGGGGGGGGGCGGTGGGTGAGGGTAGGAGGGAGTTGATTGGGTTCAGATATCACTCGCCACTGACGTTTTCACCGTGGCTGAGAATTGAACTCGTGTCATTGTTTAAGACTTAAAATCACCGCCGTTAACGATCAGGAATTCTCCACCGCGTGCTGCTTCATAAATCCTTCATTTGCCGGGCGGCCTTAACGAAGATGCTAATTGATTTTTATGACATTTTTCTGACAAGTCCGCAGTGACTCATTGCGTTCCGTACCAGCGATCTTTTCAAATGAGCGTCAAGAGGAGGAGGATCATCGGCTCGGGCAATCCGCGGATAGCAAAGCCTTGCGAGGAGGTTGTGGGGGGGGGGCGGTAAGAGATGTGAGAGTAACGAGATGGGAGGGGAAATGCGATGCGAATTGAGGACAATGACACCGTCAGACGGAGCTGTCCGCTAATGGCACTTTAATGAAGTTTTGAGCCATGACAAATGGGGGGGGGGTACTTTTCAAAGGGCCATTTACCAAATGGGACATTGACTGTTTGAGGTGATGGGGGAGGGGAGGGGGGTGTACCCCAACGTCGCATTTGAAGGGAGAGCCATCGATGAGCAATGAAGAAAGGATGTAATGGCCCAGTTGCCCGCGTAAATACAATCCCGCACGCCAATCATCGCTCCGTGTAAATAGGAGCCAGGCATACAAAGAATATATGACAACACGCAGGCGTTCACGACCAATATCCATCATGTAGGTTTTGCTTGGCTTCGATCGTGCAAATATATAAATGTGTCGTTAAACCCGTCACCACCCGATAGAGCCGATTAGTAAAGTTTGTCACGTAAACAGAACGTGGCCAATTCGTTACTGGTACAGCACTAACCGGTGTGTTGGAGAGCGAATCCACAACATTTACAACAAAAAAAACCTACACTATGGATGTATTACAACGTTAAGCCATGCGCCTCCGTTCTATAAGCGCATTTTACAATCCGCTGTGCATCGATCCGTCTTGTGTTTTGTCGACACATTTGTCAATAAAACTGGCCCGTATCCACAGCAGGAAGAAGGCACCATTGCCTGAAACGTTGAATGTTATACCCCCCCCCCCCCTTTAGGGCAGTTTTATCGATGAATATGTTTGTTTTGAGATAAAAAAAATCAAATCGTTTCAATCCCAGTAAACATGCCAACGTTGAGCCAACGTTGAGCCAACGTTGGCATGTAGTTGGCTCAACGTTCCATGTTGACTGGAATGCCACCGGCCAGAGGTTCATTGGGTTCGCGCATCACTGCGAACGGTTTGTTTGTTTGTTTATATATATTTGAATTCAACTGAGGAAGAGAGAGAGAGAGAGAGGACTTCCCAACATTGAGCAAAGGCACGACAAGCCGATGGGATTTTAACACTATACAATTAAAACTATATTTGTATTTAACCAGCTAATCATAACCATTGACTGATTATCAATCGATTATATGATTACAATACCCCCCCCCCCCCGCCTCAAATCACTGCACGTGAATGAGTTAAATGATGACGTCACCCTGCTGCTGCTCTATATAAAACCGGGAGCAAGCGAGGGCTTTACCATTCTGGCGATTTGCCCGATGATGCTGGATGTAATTATCAGCGAAACGTCGTACTCAAACTGTAAATGTTGCGGATTCACTCTTCAACACACCGGTGGGCTAAAGTAGTGAACTATTTGTCTTTTGTCACCGTGACACTTTTTTTGCTCATTGGCCGTGTCGGGTGGTGGAGGGTTACGACACATTTATAAATAACGCGATCTAACCCAAAAACCTTTATTATGAATAATATTGGTCGCGAAAGCCTGCGTGTTAAAGTGACATTTTTTTTGCTGATTGGCCGTGTCGGGTGGTGGAGGGTTACGACACATTTATAACTAACGCGATCTAACCCAAAAACCTTTATTATGAATAATATTGGTCGCGAAAGCCTTCTACGTGCTAAACTAAACAGCTTTACAAAGCTCTATTTCAGAAGCGACCTGGTTATCACAGTGTGAGTCACGGCTCGAATTTGACATTTCTAGAAGGGGACCGGTTATTATTTTTGCGTTGATTGACAATTTTTCCCCAATTTTTATTGTTTTATATATATATTTTTATTTTGTTTTACTTCTACGTGACTTTACCGAAAGAACCAAGAATATGAATCCCTGCAGTCACGAAAGCTTTAAATAAAAATTTTTCCCCAACTTATTTTTTGATCTATTTCACCAGATAACGTCAGGACCAACTGAGCTACACACACACACACGCGTGCGCGTATAGCTCTTGCTCAGAAAGCGACGTGGCTATCCCAAACGATGGCTCGACGGAGTGGCCTCAAACAACAACAACACAACAACAACAACAACAAAATACTGTGTCCGAAAACATAAACCGGGCGGGCGGGCGATCGATGACCTCCCACCACCACCACCACCTTTACGCGTTTTGTATTCTGCCCCGTAAGACAAACAAAAAGCACTGTACCTATGATTGTGCCCCTGCGTACAAGGGGGGGGGGGGTGGGAGAGAGCCCAGAGCGCGCCTCCGTGTTCGGAGTTGGTTGAGATGCTCTGGTTGCCAGGGCGACGATCGCCCGTCGCCGTGGCAACCGGCTGGCGTGCACTAAGGGAGACGAGAGAGAGCGCGCGCACGCGCACGCACGCGCGCGGTTTGTCTGTGTGGGTGGGTGGGGGAGTGGTGGCGCAGCGGTTGGGGCCACTCGCGTTGCACAAATCCCGGGTGACCTTGAGCCGCCGTGGTGACCTTGAGCCGGCCGATGATGCAGCGTTGAAC